TCATTAGCAAACCACCACGGGTCGCGCGGTCGATTTCTTTTTGTCTGTGTAGGCGAGGCTCGAAGGGGAGGGGAGGGCGTGGGGGGGGTGGGGGGGAGGGGGTGGGGGGGGAGGAGGGGGGGCGGCGGGGTGGAGATTGCGACGATTGATCCAATTCTCGGAGATTCCTCGAGATATTCTCCTTCCTCCCCATATACCCCCATATACGCCCATATACGCCCATATACCCCATATACCCCCTGGACATCTCCATAGCAGTTTTTGACCCTCTTTCACATGGTCATGATCCCGTAGGTGCTGACCTCTCCGTTCGCCGAGTGTTCCGCACAAGTCTCCAGTCCCCAGTAATAATAGTAGTGCTCTGCAGTCTCCAGTAACCAGTCATACACGAGTGCTCTGCACAGGCTCCAGTCCTCAGTCATAATAGGAGTGCTCTGCACAGTCTCCAGTAATCAGTAATAATAATGGTGCTCTGCACAGTCTAGTGGCTCTGCACTGTCTCCAGTCCCCAGTCATAATAGGAGTGCTCTGCACAGTCTCCAGTGACCAGTAATAATAGTGGTGCTCTGCACAGTCTCCACTAACTCCAACCAGTAGCACTTTACTTCCACACGTTGTCCTTCACACAGCCTTCACATGAACCCGTCACACAGCCTTCTCCATGAGCTGCATCTATTGACTCTCTTTGGCGTGCATACCCCCGCGCGCTGCAGGAACTCGATCAACATGCTCGACAAGCTCAAACGCGAGCTGGTGCCGGCCGCCGGTGACAAGCTCGTGCTCAAGCTCTCTCCTCCGCCGCCGCCGCTTGCTGACAAGCAGGCTTGTGCTTGCGCGCACGTGACAATGCGCTCCCACCTGCAAGACGTATCCTCTGGCCTTCTGGCTGACACAGGCGTCGCTGGCGGGCAACACGACCGTCAACGCTGCCGGAGGCGAGGCCGCCGGCATCCCGTCCGAGGGCAAGCCCGCTTCGCTCGAGGACGTCATCCCGTCCGTCATCCCGTCGGGCGAGCCCGCTTCGCTCGAGGACGTCATCCCGTCCGAGGGCGAGCCCGCTTCGCTCGAGTACGTCGGCGTCGTGTTTGCGGCGTCGGTAGGCGCATCGTTCGCCGGCGCCGAGACCTCGCGGCGCCTCACGTTCACCGTCGACAAAACCTCGTGCCCGCCACTTCCGTCACCGCCCTTGTCCGTCATCGACTCTGCCGGAGGCAAGCACGACGGCGAGAGCGAGCCCGCGTCGCTCAATGACGTCATCGGCAACGGCAATGACGTCCCGTCCGAGTCTGCGCCGACGGCTCCTGTCGGCATCACGTCGCTGTCGCCTTCGCTCCTCGGAGCCGAGGTGAGTGTGCGCACGCCAAGAGCACTTTATGTGCAATCTCCCCGTCTCCGAACAGCTGCGTCCGCTCTCGCCCACAGGCGTGCGGCGTCAAGGACGACGTCAAGGCCGCGCCCAAGCCCGCAGTGGACACGGCCAAGCCCGACGGCGATGTGGACGAGATCTACTTGTCGTCGCCGCCGTCGCACCTCGGAGCCGAGGTGAGTGTGCGCACGCCAGGATTGTCATCATCTCTACGGTCTCCCTGTCTCCGCACACTTGCGTGTTCTCCCCTCACCCAGGCGTGCGGCATCAAGTCCGCCGCCGCCGAGGAGCTCGCCGCCAAGTCCGCCGCCGCCGAGGAGGACGCCGAGTCGGCCACCGAGGAGGCGACCGCCGAGGAGGCGGCCACCAAGAAGGCGACCACCGAGGAGGCCGCCGCCAAGTCCGCCACCGAGGAGGAGTCCGAGGAGGCAGCCACCGAGGAGGCCGCCGCCGAGGAGTCCGCCACTGAGGCCGTGGTCGCCGAGGAGTCCGCCACCAAGTCTGCCGCAGCCGAGGAGTCCTCCGCCACCAAGTCCGCCGCCACCGAGGAGTCCGACAACAAGTCTGCTGCCGCCGAGGAGTCCTCCGCCACCAAGTCCGCCGCCGCCGAGGAGGCCGCCACCAAGTCCGCCGCCGAGGAGTCCGCCACCAAGTCCGCCGTCGCCGAGGAGTCCTCCGCCACCAAGTCCGCCGCCGCCGAGGAGTCCGCCACCAAGTCCGCCGTCGCCGAGCCTGCCGTGGATTGCATGGCGCTTGTCCGCTCGGTTGGCCACCTCCCGACCCCGCCTTTACGCCGCCGCCGCCGCCCTCGCCGCCGCCGCTCTCGCCGCCGCTCTCACCGCCGCGCCTCACACGCGCCCGCCATCCTCGCTCATGACCGAAGCCCGCGCGCCTCAGGCGCAGCACGAGGCCAAGAACGAGAAGAACAAGGCGCCGACCAAGGCGGAGAAGAAGGACTGCGCCGCCGGCGTCGCCAACGAGGCTCGCCCCCATCCGCCCTGCCTGCCTTCCTCGCTGCCATCGGCCAGCCTATGCCGTGCGCGGCTGCATCGCACCTCACTCTCCAGCCGCCCCGTCCCCCGCCGTCGCCGCCGCCCGTTGCTGCCGGCCTCGTCTCCACGCCCTCGCCACGGCACCGCCCTCGCCGCCGGCGCCCGCCACACCGCCGCCGCCACCGCCGCCGCCGCGCCGTCATGCGGCTTCAACCCACCTCCCACCCTCCCCACCGCCGGCACTGCACCTCCCCACCCAATCCACCGCCCCCTTCATAGGTACGAGTGAACTCGATCAACATCATGGCAGAGAACAAGACGGCAGGGAAGGTCGGCATCATGCCGGCCGACGTCTTCTCCGCGCCGCCCCTCGGAGCCAAGGCGGTGCGTGTGTGCGCGTGTCGCAGATCTCCACTCTCCTTCCAGCACGCTCCCCATTCCCCCTCAAGGCGTGCGACAAGAATGACGTCGTGAAGGGCGTCCCCGAGGCCAAGTCTGGCGCGGAGGCCTCCCTCGACGAGAGCACCCTCAAGAAGGACCCGGCCGCGGAAAAGGACCCCGCCGCGGACAAGGTCGACTCGGACAAGGCCAAGGCCATGTCCTCCGCCCACGCGCCGAGCGCCGTTTTCTGGTCCAAGCTTGACCCGCCGACGTCCCCCAACGGCACCAAAGAAGCGCCGGCTCTCAAGCCGGTCACCGAAGACGCGCCGGCTTTCAAGCCGGTCACCGCCGGCGGCGCGCCGCTGCCGTCGATCAAGGAGTTTCCAGCGGAGGAGCCCGCCCCTTCGGTGCGCCTCGCACGCTTGCACACGCGGAGCCCCAACTATGACGCACCCACCGTTTGCGCGCGCGCAGGGCATCGCCGACTGGACCACCCCGTCGAACCCGCGCCGCAAGACGCGCCGCAAGAACGGGCGCAAGGGCGCGTCCGCCCCGATCGTCCGCACCAAGAGCACCCCGGTCGGCGGCAGCAACGGGTTCGGATGCCTGCTCGGAACGGACGGCAACGAGGGCATCCTCGGTGGCAACGGCAAGGCGACCGGCGGCTCCACGCCGTCGACCACAGACTCGGTGCTCGCCGCCTGCATACATGCGGCCTCCTCCCCCGCTCGCCGCTCAACCGCCAGTCTCGCGCCCTCCTGTTCAGGGCGCGACGGCCAACGTCGAGACGACCACGATTACCACGCCGGAGGGCTCCGTCTCTGCCTCCGGCTGGTTCTCTTGGCCCAAGTTCTGCCCGTCCTACTTGCTCCGCCTCTTTGGCATCCTCGCGCTGCTCTGCCTCGGAACCGCGTTTGCGCTCTCCTCGTACTCTGCCACCTCCGCGCTTCTCTCCTCGCAGCGGTACGAATCCCCGTGGCCGACATCGCCTCCCGCAACGTTCGCAAAGTCATTCACGCCGGCCGAACTCGATGACGAGGCATACGCGCGTAGAAGCATAGACACGTTGCGGATGTTTGTACTCGCAGCCCCTGATTCACGCGATGCTCTGACACTCACACACCGTATTCACACCCTGACGATGGCATATTCACCTGTAGGCATACATGGTGAACTCAATACCGATCCCACAAGAGACCTCCGACCTCGAGACCACAGCAGCGCCGTCACTGCAGAATGCATGTGGCGAATGCGTCGCGTGCAAGACACCTTATGGGTGCTATCCCTACGTTCTTTGGGATTATGGCGGACCACCGAACGCTGAAGATTGCATTAATTACTTTGGTGGCATTGATTGCTCGCCGCACCTGCCGCACCCGCCTCAAATGGCACCAACTCCACCGCCATCGTTACCACCTTCACCACCTTCACCGCCGCCTTCGCCGTCTTCGCCGCCTCCCATCCCGCCGCCGCCGCTCCTCCCTGGCGGCTACTTCATCACCGGCCCGTGCTCGCTCACCGACGGCGGCTCGTGCGCCACATCGCCAAACTACCCGAACAGCTACGGCATCAACGAGGCGTGTACCATCAGCGGCGTGCCGCCGGTCGAGCTGGAGGTGATCGGCTTTGATGTGGATGGAACCCTCTGCGCAGAGATTCTCTGCCGTCAATGCGGCAGCTGCGGTTGTGACTATCTCACCGTCAACGGCGTTAAGTACTGCGGCACCTCGGGGCCGAGTGGCGCGGTGGCGGTGGACGGCGTCATCGAGTGGTTCTCGAATGGCTACATAGTCGGGCCGGGCTGGAAGGCGCGCCCCTGGTCCCTCTCGCTCCCCTTCTTTCTCCTCTCTGATGCCCACCTCCCTCTGCCGTCAGATCTGCTGGGCGACCCGGCCGCCTTCACCGGCTTCACCGCCATCATCGCCCCCGCCTCCTCCGCCCCCGCCGGTCTCCCCCGGCTTCGATGTCGTCGCGGAAACCGAGAACGAGCTCCGCTCCCTGATCGAGGGGGTTGCTGCCAGCACCTCAATCTATCTGCCGCCGGGTGCGCACTTCGAGCTGGGCAGCGAGATACATCAACATAGCATCAGCTGCGTCTCCAACATCAATGTGACCGTCGCGAGCAGCGGCGAGGGCGCGACGCTCGACGGCCGGGGACAGACCGGGCTCTTTTACCTCTCGGGCGGCTGCAGCCTCACCCTGCGGGGGCTGACCCTCGTCAACGGGAGGGTGGACGGGAGGATGGACGGCGGCGGCGGCGTTGTGCACGCTTACGGCGCAGGCGACGTCGAGATCATCGACTCGACGGTCAGAGATTGCTCGGCTGGCGAGTACGGGGTGCGCCGCGTAGAGCTAGCCGCACTCCAGCAGCGCCGCACGGCAGCGGGCTGAGAGATCAGAGGGTCACCCCGCTCTCTCCTCGCAACCGCAGGACGGCGGGGGCGGCGTCGTCTACGCGGAGGGCAGCGGCGCGGTCTCGATAATCGGCTCGACCGTGTCGGGCTGCTCTGCTCGAGTGCGCCGCGTAGAGCTAGCCGCTTGCAGCGGCGTACGGCAGCGGGGCGAGAGATAGAGAGGGGCCACGGGCTGCCTCACCCCGCTATCTCTCCTCGCAACCGCAGTACGGCGGGGGCGGCGTCATCTACGCGGATGGCAGCGGTGCGGTCTCGATAATCGGCTCGACCGTGTCGGGCTGCTCTGCTCGAGTGCGCCGCGTAGAGCTAGCCGCTTGCAGCGGCGTACGGCAGCGGGGCGAGAGATAGAGAGGGGCCACGGGCTGCCTCACCCCGCTATCTCTCCTCGCAACCGCAGTTCGGCGGCGTCGTCTACGCGGATGACAGCAACACTCACGTGACCGACTCCAACATCTCCGGCTGCACTGCCACGCGAGGCGGCGCAGTGTACGTGAACTCAGGCTCACGAGCCAGCCTGGCCCGCTCAACCATCTCCAACTGCATCGCCTCAGAGTCTGGCGGCGGCCTCTACTCGGCGGGAGGGCGCACCTCCCTTAGCGACGGCACCCTCATCAGCGGCTGCACTGCACCGGCGGGGAGCTCAATCTTCCTACTCGCTGGCGAGGTCTCCTACACCCTCCCCGCCCCAGCCGGTCGCTGGCTGCCGAACGCGCGCTGCGAGGTGTACCGGGAGGCGTGCCCTTACGATCCGAGCCTCGTCGGGGAGCGGGATAAGGCAAAGGCTTGCCTCGAGCACCGCGAAGACTGCGCGCTCAACCTCGTCGTTCAGAACAACGTCGGCCCGTGGTACTGCCAGAAGCCGACCAACGTACAGCCGTGCAACTGGGTGGACGACTCCTCCCTCCTCGGAGCGAGCATCTACCAGCTACCGCTGTTGCCCGTCGACGAGGACTTCCCTTTTGCCTGCGCCGCCGGCCTCCTCGGCTCGGCCGACCCAAAGTACCAGTCGAGCAGCAGCTGCGCCGGCCGCTGTCCCGCAGGCTCCCAATGCCCCGCAGAGGCAACCTATGAGGCGCTGCCCTGCGATGCGGGTCATCACTGCCCAAAGGGGACGAGCGTGCCCCTTCCCTGCCCCGCTGGATCGTACTCGAACGCCACCAACCTCACCGACGCGAGCGATTGCACCGACGCCTCGCCGGGCCACTTCGCCACCACGGGCTCGACGCAGCAGACGGCGTGCGCCAAGGGCAGCTACGCCGCCACGGGCGGCCTCTCCGAGTGCGAGCCGTGCGCTGGCGGGAGCTACCAGAACGACACGGGCGCGACGTCCTGCCGCGACTGCGAGCAGGGCAGCTACTGCGCCAAGGGCGCGGCGGCGCCGCTGCCTTGCGGCGCGGGTACCTACTCGGACAAGTTGAACCTCGACTCGGCGGGCGGCTGCGAGGACTGCCCAGAGGGCCACTTCTGCACCACCGGCAGCGTGGCTCCTGTGGCGTGCCGCTCCGGCACCTTCGCTTCCGGCTCGAACAACGCCGAGTGCGAGCCGTGCAAGGCGGGATCCTACCAGAACGCCACTGGTGCTGCCGGCTGCGTCGCGTGCGGGCTTGGCAGCTTCTGCCCGGTCGGCGCGTCCCTCGAGCTGCCCGCGACGTGCGAGCCGGGTACATACGCCAATGCCACTGACGACGACGGCTTGCCCGACTGCTTCGACTGTCCGGCGGGCTCGTCGTGCGGCGGCGGCGCCGCGCGTCCGACGCAGTGCGCGGCGGGCACGATCGCGCCGGCCGAGCGGATGGAGGCATGCGACAAGTGCGCGGGCGGGACCTACCAGAACGACACGGGCGCGACATCCTGTCGCGCTTGCGAGGCGGGCAGCTACTGCGCCGAGGGCGCGTCGGCGCCGCTGCCTTGCGTTGCGGGCAGCTACTCGAACGCGACCAACCTCTCCGACGCGAGCGAGTGCACCGACGCCTCGCCGGGCTACTTCGCCACCACCGGCTCCACGCAGCAGACGGCGTGCGACAAGGGGTCGTACACGGACGCGGCCAAGCAGGGCGAGTGCACGCCCTGTTCCGGCGGCACGTACCAGGACGCGGAGGCGCAGACGGCGTGCAAGCCGTGCGAGGCGGGCGGCTACTGCGCTGTTGGCGCGGCGGCGGCGCTGCCGTGCGAGGCTGGCAGCTACTCGCGCGCCACCAACCTCTCCGCCGCGAGCGAGTGCACCGACGCCTCGCCGGGCCACTTCGCCACCACCGGCTCCACCGAGCAGACGGCGTGCGCCAAGGGGTCGTACACGAACGAGACCAGGCAGGGCGAGTGCACGCCCTGCGCCGGCGGCACGTACCAGGACGCGGAGGCGCAGATGTCGTGCAAGCCGTGCGAGGCGGGCGGCTACTGCGCTGTTGGCGCGTCGGCGGCGCTGCCGTGCGAGGCTGGCAGCTACTCGCGCGCCACCAACCTCTCCGCCGCGAGCGAGTGCACCGACGCCTCGCCGGGCCACTTCGCCACCACCGGCTCCACCGAGCAGACGGCGTGCGCCAAGGGGTCGTACACGAACGAGACCAGGCAGGGCGAGTGCACGCCCTGCGCCGGCGGCACGTACCAGGACATGGGCGGCAAGACGGAGTGCAAGCCGTGCAAGCAAGGCAGCTTCTGCGAGCCGGGCGCGGCGGCGGCGCTGCCGTGCGAGGCTGGCAGCTACTCGAACAAGACGAATCTTGACTCGGCGGGCGGCTGCATGGACTGCCCTTTGGGCCACGCTTGCACCACTGGCAGCGCGACTCCCATGGCTTGCCGCGCCGGCACATTCGCATCCGGCTCGCGCAACGCCGAGTGCGAGCCGTGCAAGGCGGGATCCTACCAGAACGCCATCGGTGCTGCCGGCTGCGTCCGGTGCGGGCTTGGCAGCTTCTGCCCGGTCGGCGCGTCGCTCGAACTGCCCGCGGCGTGCGAGCCGGGTACATACGCCAACGTCACGGACGGCGACGGCTTGCCCGACTGTTTCGACTGTCCGGCGGGCTCGTCGTGCGGCGGCGGGGCTGCGCCGCCGGCGGAGTGCTCGCCGGGCTCCGTCGCCGCCACGCCTGGACTCGCCAAGTGCGAGCGGTGTGAGCCTGGCACATCTTCCAGCGCCGGCAGCGAGTCGTGCAGCGAGTGCGCTGCAGGCACTTACGCCGCCAACTCCGGCCAGGGCCAGTGCGTCCCTTGCCCCCACCCCCTCAGTAGTGAGCGCGGCGCCGTCATCTGCTCCATCTGCCAGAAGGGCTTCTACCTGCTCCAGAGCGCCGACCCGGCCGACATCTTCTCCTCCCCGACCGACTACTGCAAGCCATGCCCGCCAAACGCAGAGTGCTCGGACGACACCTCGCTCGCGACCCTCGGCGTCCCAACCGGCTACTGGCGCGCCAGCCCCTCCTCCGCCGTGCTGACGGCGTGCCGCGCCTTTGGAGGGGATGGCCAGGCGGGCCAGGCGCGGTGTGTCGGCAATGTTGATCCGGGAGAGGCTAGCGGTCGGAGGGTGCAGGAGGCCGGCTTGGACTACTGCGCAGACGCCTTCGCCGGCCCCGAGTGCCAGCTCTGCCGCGAGCCGAACCACTACCTGGACGCCGACGGCGCCGCCTGCAACGAGTGCGTCGCTGTCGGCACGGCGGCGGGGCGCATGGCGGGCACCGCCCTCGGCCTCTGCGTCGCGTTTGGCCTCGTGGCGTTGGCGTACTCAGTTCAGCGCGGGCAAACCGAGTGGAGGAAGGAGCGCTTCATCGGACTTCCCTTGCGCATCGCCGACCGCACCGGCGACGCGATTTACAAAATCGGCCTCATCCCCAAGTTCAAGATCTTGTTTGGCTTCTACCAGGTCTGCCTCGTCCTCTCCACCACCTACTCGGCGCGGCTGCCGGAACGGTACACGGGCTGGACGGAGGCGCTGGCCGAAGCCGTCTTCATCGACTGGTCGGGCGTCGTGCTGCCGGTGCAGTGCCTGCCGCACAAGTCCCGGCTCGTCGCCGTCGCGATCTCTCCCATCGGCGTCATCGCACTGCTCCTCTTTGCTGGCATTGTCTTGCGGCTCTGTGCTCGCTGGCGGCGTGCTCGGCGAGGGGCTGCGGAGCCACCGACGGCGCTGGCCGAAACTGACGATGCGGCGGTCTTTTCATGGCCTGCAGAGGTGGCGCTCGGCCTCCTCGACCTCAGGGGGGGGGGGGTTCGGGGCCAATTCTTTCTTTTCGGCCCTTTGGGGAGCGCCCCGATTTTGGCCCGGGGGTGTTTCCCGGGTCCTAACCCAAAAAAAAAAAACCCGCCCCCCCCCCCCCCCCCCCAAAACCCTTAGCTGTCGATGTGCGTGCGCAGGGCTACACCACCTCTGCGCCGGGCGAGACGCTCGCTCTGGTCGAGTACATGCGGCAGGACGCGAGCGTCGAGTGCGGCACCGACGAGCACGACTCCATCACGAGACTCGCCACCGGCTTCGTCGTCATCTGGCCGGTCGGCTCGCTAGTCCTCTACTCGGCCCTTCTTCTCGCATGCTACAAGCCGCTGCAGGCCAAGTCGCCGAACGCGCTGACGAAGGCCACCGCCTTCCTTCACCGGGAGTACAAAAGGAACTGGTACTGGTGGGAGGCGGCCGATCTGGCCCGCAAGCTCTTTCTGACGGGCTTCGTGCTGCTGGTTGCCGAGGAGGAGGACTCCTTTGTTCGTCTCGTCGTGGCGGTGCTCGTGTGTTCGTGCTACGCCGTCGTGATCGCCCTGGTCCAGCCCTACAAGCGGTTCGGGGACAACATCCTCGCCGTGGTGCGCCCTTCGCCCAATCCCACACGCCCTTTGCGCTTGCTTGTGCTGCAGCTCTCAGCACACGCTTGGATCGTGGCCAGTCCATCACCCACCCCACACACGCCCTTCCCACTGCAGTCACTCTGAGCCCAACGGACGCGGCTCGCACTGCAGGCCACCAGCCTCGTCCTCCTCCTCCTCTTCCTCGGTGCCAGCTGGACCACCATCTTCCTCAACATCGAGTTGCGATTCCCCGGCGACGAGCCGGGGCAGTCGGCCTCCGCCGTCCTCGGCTTCAGGTCTGAGAATGGACTGGTGAACTGGATGCTCGTCCTTGCTGCGGCTGCGCTCCTGATCTTCCTCGTGGGTACCATCATCGCCATCCGCCGCCTTGCCAAGGTCCCCACGATTCGCCTCGTCTTAACCAAGCAGCCCCCCGAGCTGGCTCTGGTGGAAGGCCTCACGTGGCACCTCTTCCTCTCGCACATCTGGTCAGTCCTGTGGTCAGAGGGAGAGGCGGCGTAGGAGAACCCGCCAGAACGACCCGCCACTCCGCGAATAGGTCCACCGGCCAAGACGCCGTCGCGGTCATCAAGAATGAGCTTAAGCTCTTGATCCCCGGCATCAAGATCTTCCTCGATGTGGACGATTTGAAGGACATCGGGTCGCTGGAGGATTACGTTGACCGCACGCAGGTCATGCTCTTCTTCCTGTCGAAGGGCTACTTCCGCTCGAAGGCACTCCCCCAGCCCCTCCCTTTCCGAGAGTGCCTCGCTGTGTCGCCCACGACTACTCGTGCGCTCCTTGCCTGCAGAACTGCCTGCGCGAGATTCGGACGTCGCTCGAGAAGAGCAAGCCGCTCGTCCTCGTGCAAGAGGCGGATCCGGCCAAGGGCGGCGGGACGCTGCAGGCGCTCCCCGCCCACCCCCAGCTCTGACCCTGCGGGGATTGCTCTCGCCACACACGGCTCTGAGGGGCGGTGTCGCCGCCGCCGCCGCACGCCAGCACTCACTCACGCACACCGTCGCTGCACGACTGCAGGAGTTGCGAGCACAGTGCCCGGAGGTCCTCCAGCCGGAGATCTTTGACAGTGGGTGGGCGCAGACGACGTGGCACCGCATCGACGAGTATCAGCGTGTCTCGCTTAAGATCATCTCCGAGGTGCCGCCACGGACAACTCCCTGCAGCTGTTCTGCCGTCGCCTCGACCTTGACCGCCGCCCCCTCGCACCTACCCTCAGGCGCTCCTCCTCTGCTCGCCACACTACCTGAACCTGACCTCCCTCCCGCTCTTCATCCCGGGCGAGGTCCAGGGCCAGCCGATCTCCTTCTCCAAGTCCGTCGTGCTCTGGGCCTCGCCGTTCGATGAGGGCGCAGACGAGCTGGCCAGCGAGCTCGCCACCAATTTCTCCGGCCTCACCGTCTCCACCGCCGAGGAGGCGGGCGACGCCACGCACATGCTTCTCTATCTGAACGCCGACACCTGGTCCGACGAGCGGCTGGCCGAGCAGGTCAAGCAGGCGCGCCAGGACAGGCTGAAGATCGTCATGGCGCACGAGAACGACCTCGACCGCGGCGGCTGTGAGTTCGCCAAGTTTTTTGAGACCACGCCGCAGGAACGCTGCCGATCAGCGGTCGATCTTTTATGTCCCGCCCGCTCCATGCCCCCCTTCCCCGCCGCCGCAGGAGCTCATCAACGCCGGGCTCTACGACGCCCTCGCCATTGCCTGCTTCCCCGGCCTGCACCATGAGGTGCGCTCCCCCGGCGGCACCTTTGCCACAGCGCCCGCCTCCTGAAGCGACTGATCTTGCACCCCCGGTCTCACAGGTGTCGCTCGTGCTGCTGGCCAAGGCTCTGGGCGCAACCCCGGTGAGCGCTCGCTCGAGCATCCGCGACTCGCTTTCGAATATCGGGCGCTTCACTACCGTGCCTCGCGGCTCGACGACGTCCGACCCAGTCGTTACCGAGGAGGATTCGCAGCTGGAGCAGCTGCCAGAGGTGGAGCAGGTGTAGAGGTGACGAGCAACTTTGCAGTTCGGCTCAAGCGGCAAGGGTTGGACGGTAATATCGTTTGTGCATTGTGTGGGCTTTGTGCACAGGGCGGGGTGGTAGGCGGTAGTGCTAGTGGGGCCCCGCCCCCCGCAAGCCGCGGTACTGTCCTATAAATAATAAATAAAACGGACACCTCTACTCGGAGCATGACTCGGAGATGGGTAAAAGGGGGTACTGTCTACGGGAACGTGCACACACGTATTCTATGGGAGGTATGTGTGTATACTGTATTGATCAGCGCCGTGATCACCCCTAGAGCCGTACTCAACGCCTCCAAGCTGCTCGGTCATCACGTCGATGCAGTCCCCGTCCTCCAGCTCAAGCATTCTCGGGGTTTGGTGCGAGTTCACGCGCTCCCCATCGAACAGGAACCGCAGCGTGCTCCTCGACGAATCACCGATGCCGCGCGTGTGGCAGTACTGGTCAGTCATCGGGGCAAGACTGTTGTCCATCTCGACGATGTACGCGTCCTCCCGGCCGTCCTGGTCAACTACCTTCACGGCTATGGTGCAGCCCATGCCGCCGCTGCTAGAGCCCGACGTCGAGAGGTTGAGAATGCGCTTCCGCATCTGCATGCCGCGTCCGACGCCCGGGGGCAGCGAAAGGCTGCCCCGTGACGCAATCTCCCACGCATCTAGGTGGTCCGTCAAGAAGGAGTGCAGCCCGTGCAGCTTTACGTCGAAGTGTGCGTCCTCGTCGAGCTTCTCCAGCGACACACAGCCGCTCTCGTCAGCAATGGCATCAAGATCCTCGTCGTAGTGGACGACGGGGTCTCCTTGGACTTTCGCTGCGTCGGCGAGCGGCTTGAGGTGCTCGAGCTTGCCGCAGCACACGATCCGCGCAGCAATCGGGTCGAAGTGGAAACCCGAAGCGCGGACTAACCCTCGAATCCCGTGTGAGCGGCCGCACATTGCTCGGTACCCCCCCCTGCACATCTAAAGCCATCCCTGCTGCTAGGGGGGGGGTCTGACCCCCCCAGCAGCAGAGCGCTGCTGCTGGGGGGGGGGTCGACCCCCCCCAGCAGCAGAGCGCACGGACCCACTCTCCCGCCTCTTCGCCGCCGTCCCCCCTCCACCCTCGGCTCGCGTTTGAGCGTACGCTCGAGGCGGTTGTGTTCACCGCGCCTTCGAGCCCGGTTGGCAGTAGGAGGGCCCGCCGGTGAGACCACTGATTTTGGTGTCGACCATAAATTCTCGCCACTGGAACACATGCTACTTACAGCTGCTGTCTGTACAGAGATGCCAGCACCCCCCACAGGCAGAGCGCTCCTGCTGGGGGGGGGGTCCGGACCCCCCCAGCAGCAGAGCGCTGCTGCGCTGGGGGAGGGGGTCAAGTATGGTACCGAAGGGTTGAGGCAACCTGGTTTGTGGACCTCCCGCACCTTACCCTTACAGGCCACCATAAAGGGACCCCGTTGTCCGTTTGACATCAGACTTTTTTTGAGTTGGAGGTAATAATTAAAAGGATTGCACTGTCCCAAAGAACTGATTCATTCATTTCACCCTCACATAGTAACAATACCTCAAAGTTGAAAACCTCCAAAATAGGCCGTCAGGACTCTGTCAGGACTCCGTCAGGACTCTGTCAGGACTCTGTCAGGACTCCGCCAGGACTCCGCCAGGACAACCACTGCCCCCCCGCTGTGAACAGAGCCCTTAGCTAGAGAGTAGGGAGGGGTGTACAGTCGAGTTACTCCCGAGGGCAGGGACGGCCCTCCACTGAGGGAAAGGGCGCAACGGGGACGGTATGCTCACAACCCAGCCACGCAGCTCTTTGCTCGCGTACAGCCAACGAGTTTGCTGGTCCACAGGCAGGCCAGGCCGTGAGCGTGGGCCGGTCGGGCCTGATCCTGCGGTGAGCACTGGAGGGCTATGCGGCTCGCTCCGTCAGCCGACTTGCGCCGTCGAGCGGTCGAGCGCTTCGGGTTGGACCCGCGGGAGGGTCCCTGCGCGGCTGACATGGCCAGCCAAGCCGTGTGCGCTGCCGTGGGCGCTGTCGTGGGTGCTGCCGTGGGTGCTGCCGTGGGCGCTGCTGTGGGCGCTGCCGTGGGCGCTGCCTCGGTCAGCAGTCGGTCAGCAGTCGGTCAGCAGTCGGTCCGCTGCTCGGCGCTGGCCTGCAGGCCGCCGGTGGCAAATCGGGGGGGCGCGGGCCATGGACGTCGTGGCCGAGCTTTGCTGCCTTCTTGCACGTTGCCGGCTGTAACGTTGCCTGCACCATGGCCGCGCCTCTCTTGCTTGTGCGCTTTTCATGGTCGAGCCGAGTGGCGCGAGAGTCAGCGTGATTTCTTTTGTCTGTCAGGACTCTAAGTTTCTGTCAGGACTCTCAAGTTTCTGTCAGGACTCTCAAGTTTGCTTGTCAGGACTCTCAAGTTTGCGTCAGGACTGCCCCATCAGGACGATTCCGCAGAGGGCGCGCACGGTCGAAAGGGGGGCTGGGCGTCTATCATTCACTGCTGGGGGGGAGGGGAAGGAGGGTTGCAGTGAAGGAAGGTGGAGGTCTCGTCGGAGGCACTTGTGAGCACTGTGAAGACCGTGCGCCGTCAGGACCCCGCCAGGACTCTGTCAGGACTCTGTCAGGACTCTGTCAGGACTCTGTCAGGACTCTGTCAGGACTGTCAGGACAGGTGCGGGAGGTCCACAAACCAGGTTAGGCGGCGGTGGTTTTATTGCGCTACCACGTACCACAGCGCTTGGGCCACATCAGCCCCAGCGGTCAGATCCGTCTCCTCTGAGCTCTGTCGATCTTGATGTTTAACCCTTTTACGTACACATTTCGAGCGAGTGAAAACCAACTCCTGAGCACGGCGCCGCAGGCGCCTGTTGATAGGTCCAGGTGATAGCCCTGGATGGGCAATGCATTCGCCTACCTGGGCCTCAGATCGCCCGACCGCGTCCCGGTGCTCTGTGGTCGGATTTGTGACGCCGCCGCACCGCGCCGCGGCCGGGGGCCCGCCGGAGGACGAGGATGGCCGTGACGGACCGGGACGAGCTCTGGGAGGTTCAGTGTCAGTGAGTATATTGTAGAGGCCACCCATGTGCACAATATCTTGACTGAGAGCTAAGCCAGGGGAGGCGATGCCGGGGCCGTACAGCAGCTTGATGGTGCTTCGCCGGCGTAGAAGCGGCCGCGGAGGGCTCCGGGTGCCTGAAAAAGACGGAGTTACGTGGGCTGTGGGAGAGTTACTGCACGATGACACAACGCTTGAAAAACCATTCTGACGAGCCTCCGAGCATACTTGTGTGGACGTTTTGGGCTCCCATCCCCCGCCCCGGATCCGTGGGCGATCGCCCACGCGGCTGGGGGGCACGGCGCGAGGTGCCAGGTGGCGCTTACTACTGAAAAGGAGGTTTTGGAGCCCCTAAAAGCGTCATAATAGCCGCACGTTTGCACTCGCCGTGCCTTGCCATCTCCGAACCGCGCTCCCTCCTTCAGCTTTGGGGCGAATCGGGTGCCGAACTCGGCGGCGACAGCCTTGGCTCGACATCTTTACCATTATGGCGAGAAAGAAACGTATAAGCCCCCCATGCGAAATGGCGAAAATGACTGAATCGGAGGGTAGCGCACGGGGGGCTTATGCGTTCCGCGGGGTCGTATGTTTGAGCCGGATATCGACCTGGAGCCCCATGGGGGTGGTATGAGCTGCCCCAAAACGGAAGGGCAATAGCCTGTTCACGGTTGCAGCTCCAACCACGGAAGGCCTCGAGCGCATCCGGAGCCCTCCAGGCGGCGCCGAGACTCGCTGGACCTATTGGTGCGAGTGCGCCGTCTGGCTCGGCGTACTCACCGGCCGGTGGGAGCGGATTTTGACCAAGCTGCTGCACGAGTGGCTCTTGGCGCAGGGCAGCGCCGGTCTCGACACCGACCCATCGGCGCGCCAGCTTGGGGATCCGGTCACGCTCAGCGGCGGCGCTCTGGCCGCAAAGATCGCCAGCCTGCAGAAGCAAAAGGAGCGTGACTTGCTGACCATGATGACCGACCCGTCTCTCCGCGTTTGGCTCGGCTTCATCGCGGTCTACGGCGACCAGTCGCTCATCCCGTTCATCAAGGGCTTTACCGAGGACGACTCGCCCGGCATCGGGTTCAAGGCGCGCCGAGTCATCCTCGAGCGAGTCGCAACGCTGCGCAGGTTTGAGAGCGACGCGCTCGACTGCAAAGAGCTGGACGGGCTGAAGCTGCTGGTCGAGAATACAGACGGCATCGACGCTGAAGCTGCCGCCGAAATCATTAGCCAGGCGGCCAAGGCCTCCGCCGACTACTTCGAGGAGGAGACGCACCAATGGCACGGCTCTCGCGCCAACCCGGTGCTGCTCCTGTTCGGCCTGATGGACGAGAGGGGCCGCGCCGTCGAGTGCGCAAAGGAGCTCCTCGCGACGCAGGGGCGCACCTCGATTGCCACCGCAATGCTGCCGCACATGCCCAAGCACGACAAGCTGAACGCCACCATGCTCGCGGCGGCGATCGGCGACGCCGTGGACGGCCCCTGCGTCGCGTTCCAGGACGAGTTCCTTGATCAGATCCGCATCCTCAGCAATTCGCCGGCCATGACCAAGCTGCGCGACCTACCCGCCGCACAGTCGCTCCATCAGCTGCTCTATCGCTGCCTTGCGCACGTGAACGGATGTGCAGAGGCACGTGGTCTGAGAAAAAACGAAACGCTGCGAGAGAGGAATCCCTGGCCCTGGCCATGGGTGAATTCTTCCCAGCCCCCCTCCGTGTGTCGCGAGATGCGCTCCCCACACTCCCGTCTCCCGACTCCCGTTCCCCTGTGTCGTGTCCCTGATCGTCCTTCCAAGATCCTGCTCGTGCAGGTGGGGACCCTGTCCTTCTCCCATCCCTCGTTTGGGTTTGTCTGTTTTCTTTCTTGCTTTCTTTTTACTCCGCTCCACAGCACGCTCGGGCGCCGAGACCAACTTCCCGCCACACTCTCACTCGAAGCAGAGCGCCAGGTCGGACATGCGGAGCTGGCGCGACGCCTCCTCGTCGGCGCCGGCGGCGTCGTCGAGCAGCCGCTCCGCGTTGCGCCGCTTGCGCCCCTGCAGCTCGAGCATCTTCTCCTCGACGGTGCCCTGCACGACCAGCCGCACCACCGACACCTCCTCCGGCTGCCCGATGCGGTGGACCCGGTTGATGGCCTGCTCCTCGACGGCAGGGTTCCACCTGCGCGAAGCGGTGAGGCGAAGGGGGGGGGGGGGTGCGTGTGTGTGTGTGCTCACACTCACTCACTCACTCACAGCGACTGGGTGAGGGGGCGAGGGAGCGTGGCGGCGAGGCAGCGTGGCGGCGAGCGCGACGGGTGGCGAGGGAGGCGGAGGCGCGCGTGACGGGTGGCGGGGGAGGCGGGGGCGAGGGAGGTGGTGAGGTGGGGTGAGGGTGTGTGTGTGTTGTGTGGGGGGGTGCTGGTGAGTGAGGAGGCGGGGAGGGGTCTTGGCCCCACCACGGGTCGAGGAGGAAGACGCGCCGCGCCGCGGTCAGGTTGAGGCCGACGTTGCCGGCGCGGAGCGAGAGCAGCATCACCCGCACGCGCCGGTCCTCCCGGAAGGCGGCGAGCGCCTCTCGCCGCTGGTCCAGGCTCATCGCGCCGACGAGCCGGACCGTGCGCACGCCTAGTCTCGACACGCACCTCCCGTCTTCCACCTCGGGGACACCTCTCCCCCGCCGCCGCCACCGCGCACGCGCCGAGCTCGCGCTGCACCGCGCGCTCCGCCTATGGCCCACGGGGAGGAGGGGTGAGACGGCGAGGAGGCGGAGAGGTCGGCAGGGCAAGAGGGCGGGAAGGGGGGGGGGGGGGGACACGCTCGGCAAGTCTCGGCTAGTCTCGGCTAGTCTCGGGTAGTCTCGGCAAGTCTCGGCAAGTCTCGGCAAGCCTCGGCAAGTCTCGGCAAGTCTCGGCAAGTCTCGGCAAGTCTCGGCAAGCCTCGGCAAGTCTCCGCCAGGTCAAGCATCCCAACCCACTGCGAGAAGACAACCGCCTTGAGCGGCCGCCGGACATCCCCGCCCCCAGCACCTCCTCCGCCGCCCCCATCGCCTCCGCCGCCGCCGCCGCCGCCGCCGCACTGATCGGCGAGCGCCTCCTCGCGGAAGTCTGCTCGCAGCTCGGAGAGCAGCGCCTACCGAGGTGCAGCCCGAAATCGAGCCGGAGGTCGAGCCGGAGATCGAGCCCGAGATCGGGCCGTAGATCGGGCCGAGGGGCACACGCGTGCGGCGGCGCGGGCGGCGCCTCAATCTTGGCCGAGGAGCGCCACTCTTCCGTGTCGAGGTCGACGCTGAAGCGCGAGGCGCGCTTGAGCGTGAGCAGCTCCGAGCGGTGAATGAGCTGCCGGCAGAGAGGGCACGAGGCGCGGCGCCCCTCGCCAAAGCAGTTCAGGATGCACTCGCGGCAAAACGTGTGCGCGCACTGCGTCGCGACCTAGTCGCGCCGCCAGCCAGGCTGAGCTCGGCGGGATTCTCGCGGCGGACGGCGGGGCGCGGCGGCCGCTGCGTGCGGACCGGGTCGTCGAGCGGCTCGAGACAGACCGGGCACTCGCTTGCCTCCCCCTCCGCGTCGCCCGCGCCCCCGCCGCCCTCGGCGTCGCCCGCCGCCGCGTGCCGCTCCGCGCGCTCGGCGCGCGCGAGCAGCGCCGCCGCGTGCGCCGACTCGCCAACCTTCTTGGCGACGGCGGCGCGAGAGGCGCCGAGCCCGCCTCGCGACTGCGCCAAGAAGGGGTGGTCGCACGCCTGCCCGCACGCGGGGGGGGGGGGGGGGGGGGGTTTGAAGGGGGGGGGGGGTCCCCCCCCCCCCCCCCAAAAAATCCCCGGGGGGTCCCCCCCTTCCCCAACCCCAAAAAAATGTTCAGGACCCAACGGTATTTTTGGAAAAGTTTCCCCTCGGCGACGTAGGCGTCAAACTGCGTCTTGGAGCGCGTGTGCAGCGCGCGGTAGTAGTCCGCCTCCGCGGCGGAGAACGGGACGCGCACTAGCCGCACCCGCCGCGCCGGCAGCGAGATGATAAGCTCGCCTGCTCACGTCGGGGGCTGTGAACAGCGTCTCCTCACAGCGTCTCCTCACAGCCCGAGTTGTGAAGAGGCAGCGAGAGGATGCGCTCGCCGTCCGCGTCGGTCGTCTCCTTCGTGCGGCGCAGCATGAGCGGGCGCAGCGTGCGCTGCAGCAGGGCGAGCCGGCCGGGCCGCGCCATGGCGGCCAACCAGCTCTGCGCAGAGTCTGCGACGCCGGGCAGCCGCAGAAAGTGGAGCAGCGAGAAGAGCTCGCCGACGGCGTTCTGGACCGGCGTGCCCGTGACAGCCCACCGCCTCTCCGCCTCGAGCGCGAAGACGGCGCGCGCCGTCAGGCTAGCGTGCGACTTGACAGCGTGCGCTTCGTCCAAGATCACGCGCCTAGAAGCGGAATACGCCAACCTGAGGGCACGGATACGGTATTGTGCAGCGTACTCAGAGCACCGCGTGAAGACAGCGGAGAAGCATACAGTGAATGCAGCGGAATACGTGTCCTCTCGAGCGCTAGTTGGAGCACAAGAATGCGTATTCAGCTGCTAGGATCACGCGCCGCCACGTCGTGCGGTAGAGCGGCGGCGCTATCGGCGGCCCGCCCGTCCTGCGCTGTGCCGCGGCGCCGCCCCCGGCCCCTCCCCCGGCCGCGGCGGCGCCCCCGGCGCCGCCCCAGCTGCCGGCAGAGCTCCACTCGGAGGCGAGGGTGCCGTAGGAGGTGAGGACGACGAGCCGCGAGTCGAGCCGCGGCGGAAGCTCGTCGCGCCTCCCCCCGTGGTACAAGACAAGCTGCAGCCCGCCGCACCCGCCGCGAGAGGTCTCCGTGCAGCCGGCGCGGAGGTGCAGCTCGTCGGCCCACTGGCCCACGAGCGAGGTCGGGCAGACGATGAGCGTGGCGCCTCCGACGCTCTCCTCTCCAGCGGGCCGCAGCACGCCGCACGACGCAACGAGGGATGCCGCGGGCGACGGCTCTCCCCTAAGGTGGCCAGCAGCAGCCGCCGCGCTCTCGCGCCGAGCGGCGTTGGGGTCGCGCTGCTCGCCGCCGCGCCTCTGGCGCACGTCGCGCCCCGCCGCTGCCGAGCGCGCCTCGCCGCCGCTCGGCCGCCGCCGCTTCGCCTCCCGCCCCTCGCCGCCCCGCGGGCGCGCGCCTCCCCGCATCAGGGCGCTGAACGCGTCGGCAGGAGGCGGCGCGGGAGACGGCGGCGCGGGCGGCGGCGGCGCGGGCGGCGGCGCGGGCGGCGGCGCGGGCGGCGGCGCGGGCGGCGGCGCAGCCTCCGCGACGCTCTCTGCCTCTGGCACTCCACGCGTCCGCCCGCCCCCGCCTGCCCCGCCCTCCCCCTCCGACCTACCCTCCTCCTCCCCCGCAGCCGCCGCCTCCGCCATCTCCACCGTCTCCACTGCCGGAGCCACGGCCGCCTCCCCCGCCTCCGCCTCGGGCGGCGGCGGCGCGTCTGGCAGCACCTGGCAGGGGTGGGAAGCGAGGGGTGGAGGGGCGGAGGGCCGGAGGGGAGGAGTGGCGCCGCATGGGCGGGCGGGCCGTGAAGGAAGGGGGCGGGCGGACGGCGAGGGCAGCACCTGCGGAGCTCGCGACGCCCGGTGGAGCAGCCAGCGGTCGTGCAGGATCAGCGCGATCAGCTGGACTGTCTTGCCGAGCCCCATCGCGTCCGCGAGGATGCCGCCTCTTGCGGCCGTCGCGCCGCTCGGCGGCGAGAGCGAGCCGACGCCGGTGCGCGGCTATGAGGGAGAGAAGCGGTGAGGGAGGGAGGCAGCGGTGAGGGAGGGAGGCAGCGGTGAGGGAGGCAGCGGTGAGGGAGGGAGGCAGCGGTGAAAGAGGGAGGCAGCGGTGAGGGAGGGAGGCAGCGGTGAGGGAGGGAGGCAGCGGTGAGGGAGGCGGCAGTGAGAGAGGGAGGCGGCAGTGAGAGAGGGAGGCAGCGGTGAAAGAGGGAGGCAGCGGTGAAAGAGGGAGGCAGCGGTGAAAGAGGGAGGCAGCGGTGAGGGAGGGAGGCAGCGGTGAGGGAGGGAGGCAGCGGTGAGGGAGGGAGGCCTCGATGTAGAAGGGCGTGCCGTCCGGGAAGCTGTACTTTAGCCAGCCCGCCTCGCCCGCGTGCGCCAACGCCTCGCGCCTCGCCATCCACCACAAGCCTTGCCTCTGGTACGGGTGCAGCGCCACGCGCAGCGTCGGCGGCGGTTCGAGCTCCTCGAGCTCCGCGCTGCTCGCGCTGAGTCCGTTGTAGATGTCGCCGAGCTCCTCCGCACTCAGCTCCTCTGACGCCAGCCTTGCCGGCGCAGCCACGCCCTCGGCCGCCCCGCTCCTCCCGCCGCCTTCGCCACTCCCGCCGCCCCCGCCCCCGCCGCCCCCTCCGCTTGCGCCGCCGCCCCCTCCACTTGCGCCGCCCAAGCTGGCGTCGCCGCCGCTGCTGCTGCCGCCGCCGCCGCCGCCGCTGCTGCTGCTTGCGGGCGCACCGGCGGCGGCGGCTTTGCTGGCGAGGAGGAAGCCGGCGCGGAGCGGCCCGAGGCGCGCAATCGCCCGCCGCCGCTCCTCCGCCTCGCGCTCCCCCGCCTCCGCCCGCTGCTTCGCGCGCCGCCGCTCCTCCGCCTCGGCGCGCTTGGCGGCCATCCGCGCGCGCTGCTCCTCGCTCAGCGAAGGCGTCGGCGCCGCCGCCCTGCCGGACCCCGCCGCCGCCTTGCCGGACGGCGCCCCCGAAGACGCCCCCGTAGCGCGCCGCTCGAGCGCACGCCGCCGGTTGAGCTCGGCCCTCTGCCGCTGCTCCTCGGTGAGTGCAGCAGCGCCGCGCCCTTCCCCTCCTCCGCCACCGCCACCGCCACCGCCGCCGCCGCCGCCTTCTCCTCCGCCGCCGCCGCCTTCTCCTCCTTCGCTGCCGCCGCTCGAAGCCGAGGCGTGATCCTCGCTGTCGTGCGCGCCGCTGTCCGGCATGGGCGCGTCACTCACAGCGTGCGCCCAGCTCGCGTCCGCAGTCTCTCCCTCCGCCGCCTCCCCCGTCTGGCTCGCCTCCGCCTCCGCCTTCCCTCCCTCCGCCCCCGCAGCCTCCCCTCCCACCTCCGCCCCCGCCGCCTCTCCTGCGGCCTCCGCCCCCGCAGCCTCCCCTGCGGCCTCCTCCGCCGCCTTCGCTGCCTGCTCCGCCGCCTCTGCAGCCTCCTCCTCCGCCGCCCCCCCGGCCGCCTCCTCTGCCGCCTTCGCTGCCTGCCCCGCTGCTAGAGGCTCCGGCGGCAACTCCACCGACAAAGACGGCATCGCGGGCGGTGGCGCGCCGCTGCTCGCTGCACTCTCCTCCCCTTCGCCGCCGCTCGGCCCCTCCGCCGCCCCGTCTCGTTCCGACGCCGCCTCCCGGCCAGCCTCCGCGCCTCCCGCCGCCTCGGCCGCCTCCGCAACGGAGGAGCGCGGCGGCGGCGGCGGCGCGGCGGCGGCGGCATGCGGGTCCGACAAGAGGCGGTCCGACAAGAGTGGCTCCGACGACTGTGAGTCCGCGGACGGGGTGGCGGCGGAGGGGGCGGGGGCTGGTTCGGCGGCGTGAGCAGGGGCGGGAGCAGGGGCGAGGGGCATGAGGCCGACCGCTTGCACGAGGGGGCGGACGGCGAGGGGGGCGCCTGCAGGAAGGTTCCGAGAAGGTTCAGGGGAGAGCCGGTCGCGAGAGGGCGGGCGGAGAAGGGGGCGCCATCGGCTAAGGCCGCGCCGCCGCCCAGCCGCGCCGCCTCGTCGGCTCGCCGCACGGCGAGCTCGCCGCCGAAGAGGCCTGCTTTGCGACTCTCGGTCAATCTCGGGTAATCTCGGGTTATCTCGGGAAGCTCTCGCGTAATCTCGCCGCCGAAGAGGCCCGCGCTGGGGGTGAACTTCACCATGTCACAAATGTCTAGGGCGTGACCTGGGCGGGAGACCGCAGGGAGCACATGTCGTCTCGAGTGCTAGCGGCGTCTCCTCCAGAGTCTCCTCCAGAGTGCTACTCGCTCTCCACGGACTGTGTCTGGCGCCGCAACTATCCCACGGTCGCCTCGCTCGGCCCGCAGCTGCAGCTCGAGAGGCACTGAGCCGCCTGGCACGAGAGTGCACCGGCCTACGCCGACGTGCGCGACCACGTGGAGCGCGGCGGCGCGGAGCGGCGGTAGCAGCGCGCGCCCGACCGAGAGCGGCAGCCTTCCGATCAGCGGCGCCTCGGCGAGGGGATGCATGCGGTCGGCAGGGTCGCGGCCGGGCCTCCGGAAGCGGACAGCCTCGTCCGCTCGTCGTGGTTTGGCGGGCCGGCCGCCGCCGCCGGCGGTGGCGGCGGCTGGCGGCGGCGGGAGGACGATCTCGAGCGGCTCTCCCGGGACGAGCGCCGCCACTTCTCCCTCCCGCACGAGGCTGGTGCCGACGATGGAGCACGAGCCGAGGAGGCGAGGCCAGCCGCCGTCGAAGGCGGGCGCGTCGTTGAGCGGCGGCGGCTGCGATGGCGGCAGATCCTGCGACGATGCCGGCCGCGGCAGGTCGGGTGGCGAGGAAGTCTGATCCTGCTGACTGAAGAAGGCGTCGACCGCCGCCTCGAGGGACGAGTGCTGACGCAAGAGGGACGACAGCGCAGCGTCCGACAGGCCGTCGCCGAGAATCAGCCGAAGCTGCGCCTCCATGCACGGTGGGCGGCGATAGCAGGCGAACCGGAGTGGCGCGGAAAATACGGTGCGAGCATTTTTCTTTCTTTTTGAGCTCCTTCGTCGAGGGCCGTGTGTGGTGTGCCAGCCCCTAGATGTGGTGCGGCGCAGAGTGCGCCGTTAAAAAGTGCGCCGTCGCCGCAGAGTGCGCCGGCGCCGGCGCAAAAGTGCGCCGGCGCCGGCGCAGAAGTGCGCCGGCGCCGGCGCAGAAGAGAGAGAGAGATTGTTGTTTGAGAGATTTGTTGTTTGTGTCGCAGAAGTGCGCCGTTTTCTCCACCGTTCCGGCGCACTCTGCGCCGCCGCACCACATAGCTCATAGGGGTTGGCACACCACATAGTGGTTGCCCCTTCCTATAACGCACGGGCCCTCAGCGGAGCTGGGAATAGGACCGCCGCAAGCGGCGTGGCGTGGAGCGGTTGCGCATCCCTCCGGGGGCCCCTCTGCGCCGGGGAGGCGTTGTTGGAGGCTAGGACGCAAGCGTCCGTCGCCCTTTTCAAACTCGGGGCCCACTCCGCTACGCTCCGACCCGAATTTGGAGGGCCTAAAAAGTTTAAGGTGTTGCTGCGCAAAAAGGGGTCGGACACAGGGGGGTGTACCGGTTCTGGCTTGTCAGGGCGCCGTGCGTGGCTGGTCAGAGCAGTCCTGCCTCCCAACGCTCGCCAGACTGCCGCAGCCAAACCCGGTCTCGCTGAAAAGAAGAAAGTTTGGCCCAACGGAACTGGCGCGCACTGGCACTAACTCTGCCCAGAGCGGTGGTTGAGGCCGATTGCCTCAACTGTCAACCAGCGGGTTGACAGAGGTCTCAACCATCAACCAAGTGGTTGACAGACCCCTTCAACCTTCAACCCCGCGCAAAGGTCTGAACAGTGAACATTCTCTGTGAACACTCATGTCGTCTTCTTTAGATGCTGCATTGGACGTGCCGTTTTTACGAGTACTTGCTTCAGCTACACGTGCGTGGATGGGAGAGGTGTGATGCCAAGCCCAGACGAGGAACGCTCTGACAAGCCATCCGCGAAGGCCCCCGCACGGGAAGTCCGGGCCGACGTCATGGTCGTCCGGACGCGGCCCTCCGTACACGGAAATAGCTTACCGCAGACATTTCCAAACGCAAAACTGCTTACCAAAGGCAGATACGAGCTCAGCTCAGTGAAATCTAGCAGCACATACCCTCAGACTCAGTATCCATAATAGTTAAGTCTGAAAAAGTCGGTCCGACCGCGCAGAGCGGTCTGGCTGTCTGCAGAGGCCAGAGCTTCCGTCCGGGCCCTGAGAAATGTCGGAGGCATGTCGGCCCATGTTCGCGATTTTGATGGCGTTGCCCTCATTGCACGTGAAACAGACCGCGCCGGCCACGCACCCTTGTTCCCGGAGGCCAACTCGAACAGGTTTGAGCAAAGGCCGCCTTCCATGGACCATGCTCGAAATGCAGCAGGAACTTAGTTGACCCTGCTCGAAGGCCGCCCTGCTCTAAGGCCGCCCTCCCTGCTCTCGGCATTGCGTTGTTGACTGATAGCACTGTCTGATCCATCCAGAAAGAGCCGTCGAGCTACATGAGACCCAAGTCGTCGTGATGTACCAGAAAACGAAACTAGCGCCAAAATTGAGATCTCAGGATCGACATTAATTTCTCGCGCCTACTTTCGCTGCTTGAGGCTCGCCAAATAGGTCCTGCGTCTACTCGAGTATGGCCGTGTGCAACGTCACTGTCGTTAACTGCGACAAGACCATCGCGACAAGCGCGACTCTGTTGCTTTATGCGGCAGCATTCAACGTGACTCTTGCCGTGGATGGTTAGTGACCGCGGTTGCTTACGCAATGCTACACCGTGAGCTGAGCTTCACCAGCCGTTTCTCTTCCTTCCCTTGCCTTCTCTTGCCGTCCGTTCTCTGTGCGCATTCCACTGCATGCGGCATCACACACGCGTCTTCTGCCGGGCGCGCATCTGAACTCGTACCAGGTAGGGCATCGCTTTGCTGAGAGATGTGTGTATCGCGCGCCTTGCGGGGGGCGCGCGGAAAAGAGGAACCTCTTAGCGCCCTCGCCATGGTGCTGCAAGCAGCGCCGGGCGACGACGACTTACCGCCTCCCGGTCCCCCTCGGCACACCTCCGCTGCTCAATGTTTGACGACTCGAACCCGTGAAGCTTCCCCGCGCGCGGGTTACCCCGCACACGGGTCAGCCTGCCAGCCACAAATCCACGCAAGCGTGGTCCGCGCGCATGGCATACAGGCGTCCGCCAGACAGCGCAGAGGCTAGGCGACCGGGGAAGGACTGCTCAAGGGCAACACAGCGTCACCAGCCGTTGGCGCGCAGAACGAGTCAGCGGCCCCCGGTTGGGACGAGTGCGCGATCAGGCGCCTCAAAGACAGTTTTTTAGACGCCGTTCCCCCGGGGCGTGTTGTTCCTGTTGCGAGCAAACTCAGATGTCGCATCGTTGCGAGGAGCGTCGCTGGCGTGTTGAGCAACGGCGCGCCGAGTACGGACGCGAAGAGCGGCGATGGCGGGGCGAGCCGCGACGGCGGTCGCGATCGCGCGATGAGCCGCGGCGGGATGAGCTGCGACGGCGCGACGAGCGTTGGCAAGGGCACCATGATGGGCGGCATGACGAGCGGCGCGGCTACGACGACTCTTGGTGCAGTGGGCGCGAGCAGCGATGGCACGCTGAGCCACACGCCGCCGAGCGATGGCGCGACGAGCCATTGCAAGGCGAGCGACGGCCGCATCATGACGGGCGGCACGTTGAGCGGCGCGGCTGCAACGACCGACCAAGCATAGGCGAGCGCGAGCGCGACTTGTACGATCGGCGCGATGATCGGTTCTACGATCCCAGGCGCGACCATGACCGGCGCGACCGCCGCGGCGAGGGGCAGCCTCAGCACAGCGACCGCCGGTTGAGTCCGCCGATGCGTGGTGCGGGATCGCGCGACGAGAGGCACACCTCTGCTGCCGGAGGTCAGCTCGATGCTAAGCAGCTCAGCGGCCGTATCTCGCATGCCAGCGGCGCCGACGAGCTGCTCAGGCTCTTTGCTGCCCACAGCGCGAACTTGAACCACATCCACGCTGCGAACCTGTGGAACAAACTGGGCAAGCAGCGCATCGAGCGGCGGCACGAGGGGCGGCTTGAGCAGCTGGTGCAGCGCACGCTCGACCTGGTTTCTTCGTGCCGAGCACGCGAGCTGGCCAACGTGTCTCACGGCGTTGCAAGGTGCGGCTTGCAGGCGAGGGTGGTGCGCCCGTTGTTCGTAGCGGTGGCGGAGGCGGCGGTGCGTGGCGGGCTGGCTGGCTTCACGCCTCAAGCCCTGGCCAACACGGTGTGGGCGTATGCGACGGCGGGCGTGGCTGCGGACGCGCTGTACGCGGCGGTGGCGGAGGCGGCGGTGCGCGGCGGGCTGGCTGGCTTCAACCCTCAGAACCTGGCCAACACGGTGTGGGCGTATGCGACGGCGGGCGTGGCTGCGGACGCGCTGTACGCGGCGGTGGCGGAGGCGGCGGTGCGCGGCGGGCTGGCTGGCTTCAAGCCGCAGGCCCTGGCCAACACGGTGTGGGCGTATGCGACGGCGGGCGTGGCTGCGGACGCGCTGTACGCGGCGGTGGCGGAGGCGGCGGTGCGGAGCGGGCTGGCTGGCTTCAACCCTCAGAACCTGGCCAACACGGTGTGGGCGTATGCGACGGCGGGCGTGGCTGCGGACGCGCTGTCCTCAGATTGGAGCGCGGCGGCAATCAACAACCGCTCTTACCCCGCATGGTGGGCCACCGGGTGGGGCGTAGCAGAGATGCTGGGCGAGCCCGACGCTGGCGGCGAGTGTTCCGATCGCGGCAGCGCATGGGCGCCTTCCCACAACGGCTCGGCAGCGGAGTGGGTCAGGCTGGAGTTTGGAGATGAGCCGTTGCGCATGATTGGCTTGCAGGTGCGCGAGGTGCTGGCTGCGCCGTTCATACTCCGCGTCGAGGTTGAGAGCGAGGAGGCGCAGCGTTGGACAATATGGAATGGGACAGATGAGACGCCGTGTCCCGGCTGGTTTGACCTCAGCTACGACAGCGGCAGTCAGGCCATTGCCGCGGTCTACATCTTCACCCAGGCCGACGGCTTTGAGGAGATTGATGCCGTTTCGTTGGAAGTGCCCATTCCATGCTCGCCCTCGCCGCCGCCCGAGTCACCCTCAACTCCCCTGCCCGCCTTCGCCGTGCTCACCGCGCGGCCGCTGGCCGTCGTGCTTGCGCTAGTCGCCGCGTGGCTCCTCCTCTTTGCATACCTCTGCCTGCGGGTGCGGCGACGGAGCCGATCTGTAGGGCTGCGCGCTGCAAAGGACTTGGAGGGGCCCACACTCCTCTCGCCACCAGGTCCAGCGGCCGAACGACGGGTGGGCGAGCCGGGAAGCCCGACGGACGCCCAAACTATAGGCCCCAGCATTGACTTGGACAGCGCCCTCCGTAGTCATGGGTGCGCTCGCCTTGTGCCTCTCGAGAGAGAGAGTCTGAGAGCTTGCACACATGCAAGGCCACATTTATAGGCGCTCGACCCCCCTGTCGACCCCCCTGTCGGTGCCGCATCAAGCAACGCGGACGTTGCCGTGACGATCTGGAGTGTCACCTCTACCCTAGAGGCTACGGTACGGTAAAGGGGGAGGGACCCTGAGTTGAACAGGGGTTGTGCGCCAGGCCCTCCTGCTCGGCTCCAGCGAGTAGACAAGTATTGTCGTCAACAGAGTAGAAGGATCTGACCTCGGGTCCGATGTGACCAAGCGCTGGTAGCGTGGTTTACCTCACACCCATCCACCCATGGCTCACAGTGGGGTGCCGGCAGTCGCCGAGCAGTGTAGCTCACACAAGCCGCAGCACAAGTGACTGAGGGCCAGTGAGGGCGAGCCCATCGCTGTCACAGCTGTGGCAGCCGCACAGTGGGCTGTGCCAACTGTGCAGAGCGTGTGAGCAGCACGGAGGAGCTGCTCTCCCCAGGCTCTTCAGGCGCAAAGAGCTGCATGCCACCGAAGGCGCTGTCGAGGTTCGCCGAGCGCGGCGCAGGTTCAGGGAAGCCGCCACCGACGAGCGCGATGGACTTTTCACTCCGGACTTGCTCCTTCCGTCCCCCGTTGGTACTAGTAGGGAAGGGCAAAGTACAGGGTACAGGCCCCCGGCCCCGCGCGGCCGGAGGTGAGTGTCAGAGCGAACATATATGCAACAAAACTCCAAAGTCAAAAACAAAATCTCACCAGCTGTCCAAAGCTCCGGAGGGGGAGGCGACCCCGACGCGGGATGCGGACTTACACTGATATATATCATGCAACAGAGTACTCAGCGAGCAGCGAGGCGGTCCACGCGTCGGCCGCCCGTCGCACTCGGCGGCGCGGCTCGCTGAACACCGCACCGCCGTCCACCGAGCCGCCGGCGCCTGGCGCGCGCGGTGGCTCTCCGCACGCCGCGCACTCCCGCTGCCGCCACTCGCGCCGCACCTCGGCGTGAGGTAAGGTAAGGTGAGGCAAGCGAGCTGCGGGATGGCCGAGAGAGGGCCGAGAGGTGGCCGAGAGAAGTTGGCCGAGGGATGGCCGAGAGATGGCCGAGAGATGGCCGAGATGTCGAGCCGCGCCTCGTCGTCGCAGAGCGAGACGAGAAAGTCCCAATCGTCCGCGCCGAAGGCGCGCGCCGCGAAGAGCGGCGGCGCGCTCCGGCAGAGTAACGCCGTCCCCTCCCTCGCGCTGCGCAGCAGCTCCAGCGCCGCGTGCACCGCGCGGTCGGCGGCCTACGCGCCCAAGGTCCCGGGGTGGGTACTGTTTGCACGGGCTTGCATCGCTCTCTTGCTCCTGGAGGGGTGTGGCCAGCAGGCTTGGGGCTCCCATCTCGGCTGCTTCTCGGCTGTTTCTCGGCTGCTTCTCGGCTGTTTCTCGGCTGCTTCTCGGCTGCTTCTCGGCTGCTTCTCGGCTGTTCTCGGCATGGGGCCGCCTGGCCAGACATCGCCTCGACCGCCTCGACGACCGCCCGGCGGTCGGATGCCCTGCCCTTTGCATGGTAGCGAGGGCCGTACAGCGAGCGCGCGCCCAGCTCAACCAGCTCCTCCCGGCTCATGGTGTCGGGCTGCCAGTGGGAGCGGTACGGGTATGCGATGGCGAGGTCGAGGGCGACGCGGCGCGGGAGCAGCTCACGCGTGTGGAAGGCGAAGAGGTCGCGCGTGCACGAGATGCCCACCGAAGAGCTCGAGTGGTGGCACGGCTGCAGCGAGATCCAAACCTCGAGCCGGTGGGTGGGCTCCCCGCCCGCCTCCCCGCCCGCCTCCCCGCCCGCCTCCCCGCCCGCCTCCCCGCCCGCACCAGGGCGGAGGGGCAGCGACCGGATCGCGGCCAGCATTGCGCCGTCCTCCATCATCACTCTCTCCGCATGGTGGCTCTTGTCCCGATTGTGGTACCGCGCCAGCAGCAGCGGCACCGTCCCCGGCTCGTCTCCCCGGCGCGCGGCGGCGAGGCGTGCCACGATCACCGTGTTGCGCCCCTCGCACTCGTCCGGGTGGCGGAGGCAGCACAGCGGCAGCGAGCCCTCCGGCGTCTCGCGCACATGGAAGAATGAGTCGCAAAACTCAGCCGCCGACCCGAGCAGGCTCCCGCCCGGCCGGACGTCGGCGAGCGTTGAAGCGCACGGCCGCGTCAGAGTCATCTGCGTCGCGGCTGGCACACACGGTCCGCGGCCGGTGCGCCTCGGATCGCCGCCCAAAGGCCGCTGCTGAACACCACTGCCGGCCGAGCGCTGGCCCAGAGACAGCCCGGAGGCGCGCTGCTCCAAAGAAACTGCGACGCCACCGCCACCGCCGCCGCCAGGTGCGTCGCCGACGTTGCGCCGTCGGTGCGGAGGCACCCAAGACATCAGCGGGGGCCTCCAATTCGTGTTCGCCACGCTCAGAGTCCGAGCGTGCGGTACAGCCGCAGTACTGTGCCGTACTCGAGTACCAAAGTCTGTGCAGCTGTGAACAGCAGCTCCTGACCACGGCGCCGCAGGCGCCTGTTGATAGGTCCAGGTGATAGCCCTGGATGGGCAATGCATACGCCTCACTGGGCCTCAGATCGCCCGACCGCGTCCCGGTGCTCTGTGGTCGGATTTGTGACGCCGCCGCACCGCGCCGCGGCCGGGGGACCTCCGGAGGCCGAGGATGGCCGTGACGGACCGGGACGAGCTCTGGGAGGTTCAGTGTCAGTGTATATATTGTAGAGACTGACCATGTGCACAATATCTCTCAGTCTAGCTAAGCCTGGGAAGGCGATGCCGGGGCCGTACAGCAGCTTGATGGTGCTTCGCCGGCGTGCGTCCCGGAGCGGTGCCGGACGGGCGGTCCGTGGGAGAAAATCCCGGGACAACGCCGACGGCGCTCTGATTCGACTTTTAACTTCAAACAAAGACAGTCGCACGCGCCGCAGCGCGGTGCGTGCCACTGTCAGGAGCGGATCCGTCAGTTAGTTGTGTTCACGCCGGGATCGTGTCCCTGACAAGCTGCACAGACTTTAGCCTGGCACAGTACCGGATCCAGTACCCGGGTACCGCGGGCGGACCTTGAAGCGGCACACCCCTCCCCCACCCCCCCCCTCTCTTCTCATGTGCATTCCAGCCAGCAGCTGGACTCGGGGGCGAGGACACTTTCCCCTTCAGTCGAGCAGACACGAATAGAATGTACAGAGCCGCGGAACCCTCCGCACTACTCATCAGCCTCACAGCCCTCGCCTCGAATCTGATCCATCCATCCACTCGGTTCAACACACGGCGCGCTGCAGGCTCAGAGGGCGCAGGCACACGATCACGCGCGCCAGCTGCAGGGGCTGGGCGGGCGCGATCGCGTTTGGGCTGGGCTCCTCGAGTGCGCGGCGCAGAGCTACGGGCTCGTGCAGGAGGCCGTGGCGAGCGGCGGCGGGGCGGACGCGCTCTTCCAGGCGGGAGAGCGCGTGCACTCGAAGATCGGCTCGCTCATGCGCGACTTCCGACACGAGAAGGGCGGAGACGAGCGCCGCGCCCATCAATCCGCTCGCCAACACCAGCGGCGCGACGGGCGCCAGGGTCGCAACGGCGGCGCGGCCACCCACGCGCACGATCCTCGCAGCCGCGGCGGCGGCAAGGGGCGCGGCGGCGGCGGCAAGAAGGGGCGCGGCGGCGGCGGGCAGGGGCGCGGCGGCGGGCGCGGCAGGGGGCGCGGCGGCCGACAGTAAGGGCAGGTGCGCACCCCCGTCACATAAGCCCCCTATCCCAGTAGCCCTCTTTCCCAGGTGAGGGACCGCCCACGCCCCGGGGTCGGTGGAGTGGTCCACGCCCGAGGGTTGGTGGTAAGATAGTCGTGGGGGGCGCGCCCGTCGGTGGTCCACCGGTCCGGTCCATCGGCGGGGTCATAACCGCAGCCTCTAGGCCGGGTGGGAGCCGACGCGCTTGCGCGCGGCGTCCTCTAGACAGGGGATTGGCGGGGGGAATGTCTGGACGCAGTCCGACGCGCAGGGCGCGAGACGACACGCGCCGACATGTTCTCGGGACGCGCCACGCGCGAAGCGGACCTCCTTCCCTTCCTTAGCGGCCCACCTTCAGAGCCGATCCCAGTAGATGCGAGGAAGCCCTGTGAGACATGCAGTACCGCCCTGTCCCCGAAAGGGCTTGGCAGCGGCACCGAGAGATTGAGCAACTCGGGTACGGTCAGAAGCCGCATGTTATAGGGGTGACACGCAGCCGAAGGTCCATCCTGCTCGCCGAGTCGACGCTGGGGCCTGACGCGCGTGCGCGAGATGGCGCGGCCGCGCGCTTGCGCGCGGCCGGTGAGTGTGCGCTTGCGCCGCAATCCTGGCTGAGCGGGGCGTACCTGCGGCGCTTATGGGGGTCGTCCCCCCCACGGCGTGCGAGCCGCCACGGTGTCGTGGCGCGCCGCGGGGTCAGGCTCTGGATCAAGGTTCAGAGCGCGAACACTGGGGGGTCCCTCTCGCATGGGGGGCTGAAGATACGTGCCACTCCTTCCGGGAGACCGGCCCTTGGATCCTCCTCACCGTTACTAGTGCTGGCTGCCCATTTGTGCAGCTAGGTGTCCCACTAGCCACCGCGGATGTCTGCCGTGCAAAGCCAGGGGGCTGCGAGGCCTGTTCTCGCGGATTAGGTAAGTAGTTAGCGTCGGCTGATGGGTGCTTGTCGCGCGTGCGCGTATGTGCCTGGGTCGGGGGAACCTCGGCGCCACTCATGTCGTACGTCATGCCCGTCACGGCGTTGCGGGCCAAGTGAGCACCTAAACGCAAGCTGCGGCACAAGCCGCGTTGGCGCAGAGGAGGCGGCAAGCCTCAACGCGCCTACCCGTGGCATGCCGCCGGATCGGGCCAAGACTAAGGCTGCAGGATTCGGCCCCCCCTGCTGCGAGTGCCCTCCCGTTGAGGTGTCCATTTTCTGTGCAGTCGGGCTACAAC